AGATTAATTTTATTCGATTCGCAAACTAATTTAACAGCTGACAGTTTAATCCGTGGATTTAATAAAACAAAAGTATTCACAACAACGCACACCAATAGATTTAAAACCGTCTGCAAAGTATCAGCTAAAATCCTTATCATTTAAGGTAACTATGGTCATGAGCAGATTAACCGATTTTCCTATCGGCGAAGCGTTATCAAATTATCATAGTTTCGCCTTGTGGAGTTATCTTTTTATTTACTGAGAAGAAAAATACTATGTCGTTATTTAGTGGAACGTTTATTGAGATTTTAATTGAGTCTGTTAACACGAAAGCACGGAATGCACCCAACATTTGCTCCTAATAACAGCAATAATAGTACTTCTTGGTAACAGTTACGCGATTGGACAATAGACTCTGCGCACTAACCAATAAACTTTAGTAAACACTTTAGTTTGTCTGCAGTTTAATTTGTGAAATGTTGACTGAATGATTATATCAGGATTAAAATACTAGTCGTTTTAACTTTCAAGACTATGTGGTATTTTTTTTTACAGGCTAAGGTGTGTTAAACATAGATTAAAATATATTTGCGGTAAAATGTATTGATAAAATTATTATAAAAACGGTTCGTCTGATTTTGCTCCAAATTGAAAGAAACTGGGGAAAACAATGCAGTTTAGCTAACTTTAAAATTATAGTCGCAATAAATTGTATCGAATTACACACACTAATCTTCATATATTTTTATTTATTTACCTTGCTGTAGTTTTTTTTTTCTGCAAAATATTGAAAACATTAAATTTAACACATTTCTTTTTATATATTTTATTTATTTATTTATTTTTATTATGTAGAGAGAGTAAGCTTTACTAACCTATTTGGGACACGTTTTATAATTATCATCGAAACTATAATATGGCGTCATATTCTTTAAATTAAGAAAATAGTTTTAATATATTATTTATTAAAAGAATATAATTAGTTAATAACAATATCAACAACAGTAATGGTATGGGGATTTGTGGTGATTTTTTGGTGTCTCAAAGGGAGAAAAAGGTTTTTGTTTTTCTCATAAATCTAATAATTAATATAAAATATATATATTTTTTATTAATTGATATCTTGATAAATAACATGGGACACTACAGTCAGTGGGTCACCGATTTCAATCAGATTTTTTTTCGGTTATACTTCGTTTAAAAATTTTTCAATATTTTTCTGGCGGCGTTCGTTCCAAAGGGCCCTGGAAGTCGAGAAAAAATGTTTATATAGGTCATTCAATGAAGCCAACATAAGTTTAACAAACGTAATTATTTATTTTATTCATATTTATTCTAATTTTGTTGTTTTCATATTGACTCAAAACAATGAAAATAATTCTTTGAAACGGCTGCATTTTATTCCTCTATCTAATCCACGAAATCCATCCGCTGGATATACCAAGTGTCGTATCTAATCGGCATGTCACGGACCATGAAGGCAATATGATGAATGTTTAAATTGTTTATGAATTTATCATTCGCAACAGACCTATGTATATTCATACTGTTATGAGGTTCGTTAAAAAATAGACTATTCTCTTCTCGAGTTTCTGATTTCTTGAAAAAAAAAAAAAAAAGAGATAGAATAAACGAAACGAACTACATGATGCAAGAATCTCGACTTACAATGCAGAAAATCAATAGATGATTTGCGATAAGAGTGCAGATAAATAATTTACTAGTTTTACAAATAAAAGATGCATTTTCACTGAAACCGGGATACGTTAAAACCTAGTCTGAACATTCTACCGAATGAGGGAGGGGGAGGGGGAGAGGAGGCAAACCCAAAGTGCTGAGCGACAATACGGCACGTAGTCGGCCTAGTGGTTATAAAATGTTTATCCTTCATTTTATAGATTTAATAACAATAAAAAAAAAAACAATAATGGTTAGGTAGAGTAAAAAAAAAAACTGTATAGAGTAAAAGTTATATTTCAGGTCTTGAATGTGTGCTAGATATAAAAAATTACTATTTCTTTATGTACATTTTATTTTGTAAATGATAATTATTAAGTGATTCCATCACGTAGTTGTGTTCTAATTATTTTTTAAGAGGCGGGGTATTGGGAAGCTAGAGTATAATTGTATCATTTTAGGATAAAGTTACAGCCAGCAGTTCCGAAATATAAAAAATTTACCAGAAACAAACCTTATTAAGTAATTAATTAGTACCGTATTATTTGTAGGAAATAATACCGTATAAATTGTAAGAAACTTTATTTTAAATATTTTTTTTTTTTTATGGATGATAAATATTCAGGACGCAGTCATTATAATGTTTTTGTTGGTGCCGACGTTTCAACACAAACGTGTGGGTCATCATCAAGGCGTGTTTCGAGCACTGATGGTATTCCAAGTACTGATTTTTTTTAATGAACAGTAAGTAAGAGAGAAACATTTTGCACTCGTTTTGTTATTAGTTATAGACTGTTTCGTTTTCGTTGCTAACCTCGTATATTCAAAAATACATGCATTAGATTTAAAAGTCTGGTGCTCGCAACACACAACTTTCACTTACCGCTCAACATGTGATTTACGTTAAATAATGTTAGTTTTCTGAAATTATGATTTATATTTTTTCCGTCACTCTATGTTACCTTTTACAGTTCTACTACTAAAGTTTTTTCTAAAATTCTCCGCTTTCCAACGATATATTAAATGTATACCTTCTGACTAGTATTTCCGAAGATTCATTGTCGACCTGGATAATCATTTTTATTGTTTTTTCCTTTATTCAATTATCAAATTCTTTCAAAAGTTATATTTAGAATTTTTTCGCAACACTTAATAATGAGTGATAGTTAATTATTTAAAATAAATCATATTAAAGGTACTTTAGAGGAAGACGCAAATGAACATTGGGCATTTAAGCCGTGTAAAGTGACATCAACGGTGATAAGACCTAAATGATATTAAAGACCACTTAATGAAAAAGTTTCTGTCACATCTATACCTACCTTAAATAGTAGTAGCCAAAGTAGCCAACCTTTTTCAAATGGTGAAAGTTTCTTTTGTTCTTGAGAACAAATCAAATCTAATCAAATTACGAAATTCAAGCTCCGATTAATATGCAAACGCTGCATTCCAAAAACATCTAATTGCAAATACACAAAAAGAGATAGCATGTCTAGTTTACAATTACTTGATGCTACTAAATACTTGTTCTGACCTATTGATATCAACTATGCTATTTATATAAAATTCATATCTTTATCTGAATTCCGTTACTGTGCTTCTAATCAAATTCAGATGCAATGCAACTTTACCACATAATATCTAAAGGACTGGTTTCAGATATGTTATTTAGTTGCATGCTATAGTCCCACAGACAACACAACGCTTTTTCCGATGGCAATAATTTAATGGTCAATGGTAGTCTATTATAACTCCAACTCTGTCTCAAACCTCTTTGTTCTTCTAATGAAGTTCAAAAGGTTGGACCATTTTACGGAGGTAGCTTTGCATACTTGGATTCTGTCTGAGTCCAGAAGTCTGTATCTGAGTGACGCAAATCGGTCACATTCTGTTATGAAATGGAGGCCAGTTTCAATTGCACTTCTGCAAATATCGCATCCCCCAGATCTTTAAATGTATTTTAAGTCTGCAGTGGCCTGTTAGTACTCCGATGATGAGTCGGATTTCTTTTTTAGTTAGGCTCAGAAACCACTTAGTTTTGGAGGGGGAGGGGCTTTTGATAAATTGTTTGGCTTGTCTAAGCATTCCCTCCATTCTTTACTTGCTCATTTCCAGGTCCAATCAAGGACATCTTTCCGCTGATGTTTTTTGGATATTCCTATTGCAGGTTCCGGGCCTACAATAGCAAATTCTGCTGCTTTCCTTGCAAGGAAATCAGCTTTTTCATTGCCTTTAATTCCCTTGTGACCAGGAACCCACACTAGTTCCACTCTCTTGGAGCAGGCCAGTGTCTCCGATGCTTGTAGAGCCGACTGACTATCCGAATAGGTAGTGATGTCAGCATTCTCGCAATTAGCAACTTTTAGACAGGCGAATGCAGAAGGTATAGCAAACACATCTCCTTGAGATACTGTTACCTAATGGTATGCTCAATTCTATATTTAGATTCTTGTGGTAGAGTTAACGCTCCCTACGGTTATTTTTTGAGCAATATATGTGATTAGAAAACTACAAAAAATAATGTATAGATTCTCATTTATTTAATGAACAGTTTGTTTTTTTCAAATCGTTTCCAATATGTTCTGACATTTATCTTAAAATTTCATCTTTAGCTGACTAATTTCATTTTCCAACCAGCATTCATGAGTAGTTGTTTAATCACAATTAAATGCTTCGTTTCCAGTTTGGATTGAATGACTGATCATTTATATAAAACTGTTTATTAAATATACAAAATTTGCAGTTTAAGTTACGTACATGCCGTATCATCAATTTCTTCTTTTCAAATCTCTAGAAATTAGTTTTCTGATTAATATGGCTTTATTATATCCGCAAAACTTTGAAAAAACAAATGTAAAGTTCTTCTAGTCCTTAATTAATGACTAGAGTTTTGAAAGAAAATCAAAATATTAACTGAATTAATAAAATATTCTATTAATTTTTGGAATAATACAAGTTTAACATTTTTGAAAAGATTCAATATTTTTTTAGTTTCCAAAATTTAAAATTCTGTTATTGAATATTACTTTTCGAACATATTAATAGGAATTTCGATATTTTTTGGAAAAGTTATTAAGAAACAAAACATGCAAAGTAGCACAATAAACAATTAGTGGAAACACTCCTAAATCTTAATTAATTCATTATTTTGGGTATTATTTAAATCAGTTATTTTACAATGAAATATCTCTAAGAAGAGAACATTTTATTTGTTTTTTAATTATCCTTTAAATTTAAATTCCTTACAAAATTGAATATTTTATAATGATATACTTTTGCTCTTTTCAAAAATTATAGTTAAAAGAAATTTCATTCGTATAGCAATAGTTATAAAACATTACCTGCTGATGTCCAAGAAAAGACTCGACGTTTTCAGACCAAAAGATTATTTTCCCGGAAGACGATACAACCAGTAACATTCCCTGCAATTCCTATAAAAATAAAAATATATAGTTGATAGCTTCTCGCTATACATAAATTTCACATAGTAAAAATTTATTGCTTGCAATAAAACTCACATCCAGCAGCTTTTGACACCATTCGCTTGGTACGGCAAGTTGCTCATTCTCCTTCAGATCTAAAACATAAAATTTTAATTGATGAATATTAATGCCAATTGCCATAAATCAATATTTTTTTATTTATTTATGAAGGCATTAAACAATTTAACGACAAGGCTCATTTTCACCTATCTTCCATAATAGCTCTTCTTTATCTCCTCTACACGTATCAAACTTGAGCATGGTAAGAGCAAGATTAAATTTTACAGTAGATTTTATGTTAGTTTAAAAAAATATTAATCTTCTCATTGAGTTCTCCAGGTCTAGTTCCATCTTCTACTTCTAATCAAATGATTTAATAACTAAGAAACAAATTTTAATAGTTAAAGGTATCGTAAATTGGCTCCCCTCAATAAATACATAAATGTGACATGGCGTTCTTTACCTCAGGAGTACAGAAATATTTATTACTCATTTTTGTATCCTTTATATCAAAAATGGCTCATCCCACTCGCCTCGAAATTGGAAAAAAGTTTGGGGGTAGTGAAAAATGATTCATCACCAATTTTATCAAATTATATCTTCATCGTCTACTTTTCGTCCGCACATGTATTTTTCGGGATATGGTTATATTTCAAAATATAATTATATTATATTAAAAAAACAAATCATTCGATTTAACTCATAGATCTTCGTGAATGATTTCATATTATCGTAACCTACAATTTTTTGACGAAAATATTCGTGTAGGGGCCATTTCTAATTAATTTAATGAGGTACTAAACAAGTAGGCTCTATGGTGTTAATTACTCCCCTTTTAATTTTTAAGCAGAATCAACTTTTAGTAAGCCGATAACGTTTTTTGGAAAGAACTCGTTTCAGAGTGGGAACTTCCTATGACTTCTTCGTAAAATGAAAAGAAAAAGAGCTATAGGGTCAAATAATGATAAAAATGCGAGGCAAAAACATCTTCGTTTAAGATCGAAAAACGCCTTTTACTTTAAACTTTTTTTTCTTTGAAGATAGTCTTCTCATTAACATTTAAGTTCTGTCAGTCAAGAAATTTTATAACATGTGCATCTTATCGCAGACAAAACTGAACAACCTTCGACTGTACGGACAACTAACAACTATCCTATTTACTCCTAATCATTTATACTTTCCTAACAATCACAATGTACACATCCCAAATGATTAAGTCTTTCGAATGTGTGGACCGATTTCGTTGCTTATTTTTCTGTTTTGTAGCATTTCGGCCGCCGGCAGGCACCTCTGCACAATTATCGTGCAACCGGTGTTTTCAACAGACTGTGGCACCAAAACGGCAATAACGATTTTGATAAAACTGTGTCCTACCTAATGCCCTTTTTATTTGCATATAGATCTAACGGATTCCCTGAGCTGATCCATTTTTTTTTTTACTAATAAAGGTTCCTGTGGTGTTAAAATAGCGGGGTATCAGGAATGGATTTGTCGTACTGCCGCCTACATGATTGGTAGATAATGCCGCCCTCTCCAGCTATCACGAGGAAGTTCTTCAACATTGTTTCAACTTCCTTTTCCAGTAGACAAACCTTGTTTCGTGTACTTTTCGAGCTGATTTTTTTTCTCACAAATTTTTAAAATATAATTTCATTCAAATTTCGCTACTCCCCGAAAATCGTCGCCGCATACGTTTGTGTATAAGTACTTACCCGTACTTTGTCATTGTATTTTTAATAAAAAAAAAAACTAAACAAAAAACATGATACTACTAACTACTTCGAGATCTATCAACGGTTCCAGAATTTATCAGAGGTATATTAAATTATTTTGCACGTTCAAATTTCTGTCGAACTAACTTTACTAAACTAATAATCTGGCTAAAGTCAACTTACAAAACTGCTTCAACGTCAACAATCTACCTAAAAAGAAATATTTCCTTTAATCTGATATCTTCAAATCACATTAAAAAAATCTGGTTGTTGCAAATTTACTATTGGCTTTGAGAATATGAGTATCAACGGTGAGCTATGGAACAGCTTATTGGTTTTATTGTTTATAAATAATAATATAAAAGTTATTTATAATCGTTAGACTAAACATAATCGTAGTAAAATGATCATTGTTGGAATATTTATCTAAATTAAAACTTCACCATTCAACAAATCCAATGATAGTCGAAAATATAATGTTCCTTCAGTACCTTTAGTGCAGGGAATTAATATGTATAATATATCTAGGAGAGAAATAAATATAAATAAAAAGCTATATCTTTATCACCTCCATTACGGTTCCCCTTTAAAAAATTAAAACTAGCATAAATATTGGCGCAAAGTTGCATAAGGGATTGCCAAATAGGAAGGCAAACCTGTTAATGGAAATCATCACAGCCAGAAGACTGGGCCACATGACCCGGAGGGATACGATTCTATTATGCAATAGTACAATGTTGAAATTTCTTATGGATTTGCAAACTCCCACAACTTTTTTTTTTCCTCACTACTTACACAACTTAAAAAAAAAAAAAATGAAAAATAACGTTCTTGATAAAATAAAATTATGAACTTGATTTTACGGAGGATTTTTTTCCAAGCCGTTTAAAAAAGTATTTCTAAATCTTTAGAATTTTCTCCTAATTTAACGATACTACAATTTTAGAAAGACGAATCATTGCTCATCCAAACCGAATCAATAACTTTTAGACTTTATAGCTTTATACGGAATACAGAAACACTATCCTCTCAAACTTTTTTATTTAACATCTTTTTTTCTAATTTGTTTACGGGTGTCTGGTTTGTGCCATTTCGAGTAGTTTATGTACTCCATTCTCATCCCCAATTACCAAATAATTTTCATGTCGATAGATAGACTCATTTTGAAATTATTATAACGTATTGATGTAGAGATGGTTGACCGTGATATAATGTGAGAAGGAATTGGTCGGGAGGTGCGGTCAAATAAATACTATTTTTTTAAAAATAGTATTTTTAATTATGCCGACGTTTCGACCCGAATTGCAGCTTTTCATCTGAAGACCTATTTTCACATGAATGAAAATAGAAAACACAGTTTTTATTCATACTTAATTTCTATTTTTGTTTATATCTTATATATATATATATATATATATATATATATATATATATATATATATATATATATATATAAGATATAAACAAAAATAGAAATTAAGTATGAATAAAAACTGTGTTTTCTATTTTATTATGCATACTATTATTACTCTTATATATATATATATATATATATATATATATATATATATATATATATATAATACTTGATATTTTAACTACACTGTCATTCCCTATACTATATCTTTGATGTCATCTTATTATTTCTTTATCAGACAACAGTTTCTTATTTAATATCTACTCATAATTAATTTATTTTATTTTCACCAGGTATCTTTTATATTATGTATCTTTTGTAGCCCTGATGAAGACCTGAAAGATGGGTCGAAACGTCGGCGTAATTAAAAATACTAGTTTTTAAAAAAAATAACATTTATTTGACCGCAGCACCCGACCAATTCCTTCTCATATTATAACGTATGTGAAGTCCGAAAAATAATTAAAGGCAACGTAAGCCATACCTACAGTATCGAAGTTTAATATTTTCAATTTAGTTACTACGATAATATCGATCTGTTACCAATTTAAAAGTAATAGGATTATGTTCAATAAAATATTTTTAATATTTATTTGTGTACCTACCACTTGAAGCTTCCGCTACCTACGGTATCAAGGAAGCATACCATAATGACGAAAAAGGGAGGTGAAGAATTAGAAAATTTGAACACAGGGAGAGTATAAACAACAGATTGTTAAAATTGTTGGTCTTGCGTACCAACAAAAAAATATATAACTTTGAGAAATACTGTATGAGTGAGAATACTATAATGTGGGCGTGAATTAAAATTCGTCCCCAGTACTTAACTTCAAATGAATTAAAAGAATTACAATTAATTTAAATTTTAAATTCAATGCATGCATGCATGTTCAACGCGAAAAAATTGCGTTTTTCAGTGCGCCCATAATTTGATAGCCGTACGAGGAAGGACCGTAAAACAGGGATAGAGTAGAAAAAATATTAATGGTGACGGCCTTTAATTTACATCCAAATTATAATATTATTACCCTTATACTTTATATAATGTTTCCCAAAGATTTTTCTTTTCAGTATGCAAGAACAATAATATTAACAATGTTTTATCTATATATTTTATTTCTCCTGTGTTCTGATTTTCGAATTCTTTATCCTCCCTCCCTTCCCTACACTCCTGATTTTATAATTTCTAAATGAATAATTTACTAATAAAAAAAAAAAAAAAGAAATTTCTCCTACGTTTCAAAATATCAAGTACTGCAGAAAACCGGAACTTGCCTAAACGGAGCTGAAGAAAGCAGCAAATCCGGTTGCCATGATTTATATTTTTATATTCGAAGGATATTTGAGGCCGCGATGGAACATGCCAAGAGAATAATTTAGAATAGACTGTCATTCACCGTTGCCATCTGTAATAATTTTCAACTGTTGATCCAACTCAACAATCAACTTTCTTTCTTTGTTGGAAACTTTTAATTGACAGAGTATGTCAAATGGAAGGTAAGAAAAATGTTGCCTCTGATAACGTCAGAATAAAAAAATCTGGTGCGAGGAACACACAACTTTCACTTACCGTTCTACTTTAAACAGAAATTATTATGTGGCAATGCTGGGCTATTATAAAAATATTAAAGTGTATTTTAAACGGAGCTAAAGCTTAAAACTTACAGATAACAAATCATTAATACCATTAAAATTACAATAAGTCTTTTTATTATATCGAAGGTAAGAAATAAAAATCTAATAATAAAAATCATTTTTTATTAATGTCGTTTTAATTAAATTTCTAGTTGAAAATCTATATCTATACAGGCAGTGAGTAAGTTGATTCTAGAGTAGGTGATTGCAGTATTGAAATATAGAACTGTAAACAAAGGCATTTGGCACTAGAAATATCAATAAAATTAATAATAAAGAATTTTGAAATTGTAGTTAGTCATTCTGTCAACCGAAAGGCTCATATATGACT